ATGTGCATTTATTGCCATTGTCTTTTTTAAATAAATTATGTCTTCATCGACTCAAGATATTTGTTATTAATTATAGCGCTCTTTAAATTTGTTGTTTTGAGACTATAAAATTTATTTATTGTTATGTTTTTACTTATGAACCAATAACAAGTTTTTTAATCGCTGAAGCGATTGTTTATAAATATAAATCTATTTTATTGAAATGGCATTTGAAGCTTTTAAGTTTTAAACGCGACTGTCTCGCATTTCGTGTCTTGGACATTGTTTGCATTTATTAATTACTTAATCCAGTCGAGACCCTTCTCAGCTATAAATGTCAACAAGTTAGCAACAATTTTAATTTCTTAATGGAAACTGCATATTGGCGAGCACCTGAACGCTTTCAATAAATTAAATCAGTGGCACTTTTAACGCCATTCCCATCACAACGGGACAACGAATATCGAATTAAATTGGTTTTATTTTTGTTTTCTTTCAATGTTTTTTATTTTATTATTTTATTTTTTTTTTTGGTTGCCTTAATGTTAATATTCCATCAGATGGACAGAGCCAAAAGTTTGCCTTAAAATTAACGTTCGAACCAAAAAATAAAATAATAAAAAAATCAACAACAATCAGGGCAGAGCAGAGAACACATATTTACTGTGTATGTACTTTGGTAAGCGCATTAAGGCATTCGCAACACGATGGCCAGCCGCTCATCAAGGACCACTTAAAATCCGCCCCAGCTTCCCAGCCACTGACTTGTATAGTGGAGCTCGTTCAGTTATTTTTGGGTGGTGCTGGTGAGCCTGCAATTTCATGCTAGAGGATCGAGGGGAGGGGCCAAGCATTAAGAACTGGACTGACAGCAACATTTGGGGAATGGGAATGGGAATGCGAGGCCATGCGAGGAGTCGGTGCCAGTCAATGGCAATGAAATGTTTCGTCATTAAAAGTCAGCGAGAAGAGCCCAAAAAAAAAAAAAAGAAAAAGAATAATGTTCACTTCGTATATAAACAACGAGAGCACAGCAAAAATAATAGCAAGTAAAATGTGTTTATATATTTATGATGATGATGATGATGATGATGACGATGGGTCTCTTCCCGGTTTATCTGGCGCTCTGTGAGTGTGTGTGATTGTTAACTGCGTAAATAAAGGTGCGTGCACTTATCATATATATATATATATATATATATATATATATATGCGTGTGTGTATCTGTGTATATGCGCATTAATTTATTGTATGCATCAGGTGATGGTGACCCATTTAAAATTTTGATGATGCTGCCCCGCCAAGTTCTTTAAGCTGTGATACTGTTGACTTTCAGCAATAAGTAAATCGAAAAGTGAAAAGAAAAGAAAAGAAAAGAAATATCAAATGGCATACAGAGGAAAATATGAGTAACTGATGTAAAGTCAAGTTAACATTAATATTAATAGATTTTTCAAGTCTCAACTAATTACAAACTTAAGCTTCGTCTTATCATCAGCAGCAACTCCTCAAATTTATTTCATCTTTTCGGCGCTTTATCAATTAATTCCACCCCAAATGATGGCTCCTTTCATTTCCATCCCACTCTTTATATCAATAATCCTTTTTCTTTTTGGTCTACATCAGCAAGTTTCATTTACGCTCCACCTTTTGCTTTGTGTTGCTATGCTTTTAATTTTCAGCTGATTTTTTGATTAATGCTTAAGCGGCTGCTCCTTTTTGTAGATTTTTTCTTGTCTCGTCTCCCTTATGCAAATGGCCGGCACTTTAATTAGAAAAACTCCGTTTTCTGTAAGGGGAGTAAGAAAAATGTCGTTCATTTGGTAGCAGCACCCCACTGCAAGTTGTCTCCAAGTTTTGCTCATTATGCCGAGTTTTTGTCGCTTTGTTTGTCATTTATAAATTGGAAAACTTTTCTTAAGCAAATTATGCCGTTTTTTTTTTGTGTGTTCTTAAGAGCTGACCGAACCCTTTTTGGGTATATGCGTACTTGCTTTTAATCGAGCAAATGCTTTTCCTTTGGCTGGCAATTCGCTGCGCTTTGCGCTCGCCTCAGGAATTTATCTTCAAATGCAAAGCAGCATCGCTCTGCGGCATTTGGCTTGTCCAATAATAATAACAACACCAAACTCCGATTCCAACTTTAACGGCTGCTTAAGACCCTTTCGTCCTTGCAGCACAGACAAGCAAATTAAAGGGGGATTATCATCATTTCATCTTGTTGGCTGACGAGTGCCCCGGCCCCTGGATTCTGCCCCCAGTTGTTGCTGTTGTTGTTGTTGTTGTCGTTGTCGTTGAACCCTTTGTGGCCATCACAATCGCTCAGCTGACGTTTCTCATCCGACGCCTGCGTCACTTGGCCGTCTGCCTTCCTTGACTGCTTTTCCTGCCAACTTCTGCTCGCTCTTCTCCTTCATCTTCTTCATCTTTAATGTTATACTCACGTATTTCCTACTGCTTCTCAGATTTGCGTTTCAAGATTCGGACTTGGAGTTGGCATTGAGGTAGGCAAGGGTTAACATCAACATCAGCAGCATCAGCAGCATCAGCATCAGCAAGAGCATCAGCTTCAGGTTCCCAAGCGACGACTTTTGCATCCGTTTTACGTTCGCTCGCTGGTGCATTCAACTTTATGTCTTTGATTTATTGTCGCTGCCCTCTTTCCGCTGCCGCTGCCTCTGCCGATGCCGATGCCGATGCGGAGGCAATGAAAGCGAAACAATGGCCAGCACAGTCGGCATCAGGAACGAGCCCCTGTTCTTAAGCCAACAACTGTCTTCTGTTTGGGTCTGGGGTCTGGTCTGTAAGTAGGTCTATAGGCTACCGTGGCACTTTCAGTTTTTGTTTTTTTTTTTTTTCATTCAGAGCCGCGTGGGTTTAGCTGTCTGTGATTGCTTATTGCGCCTTGTGCTTCCTTTTTGGCTTCGTATGATGTAATAAATATATGCGACCCTTTGTCTGCAGATCCCTATCCCTATCGCTATCCCTATCCCTGTTGCTGTCCCTTGTTTCTTGTTTGTCGTTTGTTGTTTTGTTGTTTCTTGTGCCCGCATGTGAAAATGGGAACATATGTGGTTGCTGCTTCCCCAGCAGCAGAAGGGAAGTGCCATAAATAGTCGTTGAAAATCTGTTGATTAGTGAGCAAATAAATTCTTGTCTATTTTGTGGTCAGCTCCATCTCCATCTCCATCTCCGTCTGCATCTCCACAAAAAGTCACAGACGTTGCCACCAAGATTATGTAATAAAGATAAGCAAAGAGGAACTGAAACTCAAACAAGTGTTGCTGCTGGGCGTGTCTCTTGCAATTAGCCAAGAAAATATTACCTGCTGCTGAGAGTTATGTGGGCGTACACACCCCGAATATGTGCACAATTTGAGTTTCAGTTCCAGTCATGCAGCAATTTGAGGTACATCAGTTTGTTTCTGAAACCTTTTTGTGGTCCTTGACTAAATCGGTGCTTGCCTCATAGTTTATCTGCCATGAATTCTAATGGCTTCTGGAGCTGCAAAACTTTTGCCTGTTTTGTCAGTTGTGTGTGCTTGCAAAAGTAGACCACAAAATTGTGGGTATTACTTTCAGAGCTCCCCACCCGTTGTCTATCTGGGGTTCGCTATGAAACCAAAAAAATTGCAAACAAATTACCACACAAATTGTGACAAGCACTCAGAAAAGTTTTATTTTTCTTTTTTTTTTGGCCAGGGAGCGCATACGCCGTGTTGTCTGGCACACATGTGCACCTGTTGTTGCTCGCAGTGTTCGTGATAGAGTTGCCTTAGTTTGCGTAATGGTTGCTTGCTAGCTTCAATGAATTATCTAAATTTATTGATTATAAATTAAATGTTTTTTGAGAAACTGCCCCCTATATTATTATAAAAGCGAAAAAAAGTCTAAGATTGTCTTAAAACATTTTGAACAACCTGTAAAAATCAAACAAATAAAACAAAATGATACTAAAATAAATATTTGTTGTAGACCATTAATCTATCTTGAAAGCTGTCATAGAAGATTTGTAAGTGAAGTTACCATATTTATCTAAGTGCATACATTTGGCATTTAATTAACAGCCAACACAATTTGAAAACGAGTCTCAGGTCTCACATAAATCTGAAATCTGGAATTCTTTGTTTAGTGTAACATTTGCATGCAGCAGAGATACCTCGCAGCAACACCCACCCATGATAATTGTAGTTTTTGTGGCGACTGCTGTTAAGTGGGAGTCGCACACCAAATAGGAAAACAATGCAATTGCCAATTGGCAACTGATGTGCGAAATGAGAAACACTCACTCGGGCACTCACTCACACATTCACACACTCACTCATCGACTCATCAACTCATCAACTCACTCAAGCAATTGCTCAACAGTTTTCCCCTCATTGTGTGCCGTCATGCGCACAAATCGAGTCGCTGGCTTGATGGGGTTCACTTCCATGGCAGTTTTTGAGCTTTGAGCGCCTGGCAAATGTCACCTTCGATCAGCAACAACGGCAGCAGCAGCGAATGGAACCTGCCCGCCCCGTTGTTGCTGCGACACGTAGGTGCATCCAAGTCAAAAGGAAATGTCAGTCAGGGGACAAGCCCACAAACAGCAACAGCAATAGCAACAACAATAACAACAACAGCAATTGATGTTGCTGTGTTCTAGGGCTAATCCTGAGCCAAAACACGTGCAACAGCTACAGCTACAGCAACAGCAAGAGCAGCGACTGTGGTGAGTTCAGTGGGCGACAAAGCTGCAAGACAACAAAAGTTCGGGCAACATGTTGCAGTTGCTGTTTGCTGTCGCTGCAGCTGCTGGCAAAATTGCAATTTCGCAAACACGCACACAAACACTGCTGAGGGGAGCTTGTATTGGTCTCGACTCGCTTCACGACGCCAGCAGCGACAGCAGCAGCAGCAGCAGCGACAGCAGCAGCGACTGCAAATTGTTCCGTAAGGCCTATAAGACCAAAGCTGACGTAGCCGTTGCCATTGCCGTTTGACGTCGATGCCGATTGCGATTGCGAGTCCGAGTCGCTTTTTTAGCAACCCAGTTTGTCGTTGCCGCATTCGCTTTTCGGCTGTCGTGCCGCGCGGCAGCCAAAACCAGTGTATTAACTCCAGAACTTTTGCACGCGTACTCTCGCAACACACGATTGTGGCGTATCCTAGTCTATAAAATATTACGTACTATTTGCTATGCGTGTGTTTCTGTTTCTGTGTGTGTGTGTGCGTGTGTGTGTGTACGTGTGTGTGTGTGTGTGAGTGTGAGTATGTGTGTTTCTGTATTAACTGAAACAATTGGAAACAACAATTGTGAACAACGACTACGCTAAACTGCATAAATTGTTGTAAATGTGCTGCTTGCCAATTGGCGACGGCAAAAGTTTTTGTGACCTTTTTACGGAAACATTTCGAGAGGAAATTGCATTTTACATTTTGCACTTTCGACTTTTGCATTTCTGCATTTTGTCGATGTCGATGTCGATGTCGATTTTTGGCTCAGCGAACTTTTCGTGTGTCTACTTCTTAAATTTTGAACTTGAATGTAGAACTTGGCAGCGACTGACAGTCAATTGGTGAGTTTGTTCTACAGATGAAATACAGTGCACACTTAGTCCTAAGGTCCGTGAATTTCAATAGTTGAATTAAATCATTTATTGAATTTAAAAATTCACAGATACATTATAAACAGATATGATCAGATCTATTCAAATCTAATAAAGTCTAAACAATTATATTTTTTTATGTTATATGCAACGACTTTCAAAATAATAAATATAAATATTTGAAAATGATTAACAAAATATTATAAAAATTAAAACTAGTGAGATTTTTCTGCAATATGCATTTCGATGATAATACTGAATTAATTAATATCTGTCTTTGCATTAAATAAAATAAGTCAGTCTAAAGAGCAAAAGTTGTTGCTTAAGAATTGTATTATTTGACCATTCAAAGCCATTTCGGTGCTTGCCAGCTGTCTAAAAATCAGTTCCGAGCTAAATTTCCAGCGGACAAGTTCTTCCGGTTGTGGTTAGTCTTGACTTGATTCCAAGTCGCTTCACACATGCGCAAAAAAGACACCACGTCCCCGGCCCCGGCCCCGACCCCGACGAAGACCCAGAGCCAAAGTCAGAACCAGATTCAGAGTCAGCCTCAGAGAATAGCAAGTTGGCAATCATACCTAAGCCAGTAATCACATACACATATGTACATGGCTTATACGAGACGTAATCGTCAGCTTCCTTTTGACCAGCGCCATGGCGATGTTTCCTGCACGACACTGAGGGCAACAACAAGAGCATCAGCAGCAGGAACAGCAACAATAACAATAACAACAACAGCTACAATAACTAATGCTAGAGCTGCAGTTGGCATGTCTTCATGTAGGCTGCTGTCTAATATAATTTTGAAATAACTCAACTAAGCGTCGGCTCTGCACAGAGAATGAAGTCCGATACTTGGCCAAGTGGCACATTGAAATGCCAAAACCAAGTTAGAAACAAAATGATTGCAATCCAACGTTGCCAGCCGCTAGGCGGTCATCTCATTCAGTCGTCAGAGCGCCAAACAAAACTAAAAAAAAACGAGACAACAGAAACTACAACAGCAATAGCAACAACAACAATGTGGAAAAAAGGGATAAGCCGGAAAGCAACACGGAACCCAAATTAATACAATAATTGAAGCCAATTTAGTATAATTTTCTTCAATTTCATTGCTGTTGTTTTCAGTCTGTTGGTGTTATTGTTGCTGCTGCTGGCAATGTTTTTCTTGTTGTTCTTGTTGGTGTTGTTCTTGTTGTTGTTGTTGTGTTTGCTGTTGCTGTTGCTGTTGGTTTAACTGTCTAGCCATTGACTTTACCAACTATTATCGCATTTGTTTGGCATTTGGCCGCTGCACCCTCCTGTCTATCCCTGTTCCCTCTTCCCTGTTCCCTCTTCCCTGTTCCCTGTTCTTCCCGGTGTCTTGTAATCTGCTCTAAAACAACTTGAACCTAATTTTCCCGCGTGCCTTGTAAGCTTTTCCAAGCCAGACTCGGTCTCAATTGCAACTTAACCACACCCAAAGTTTATTAACCCATTTTATTGTTCGTTCTCTTTCCATGGCTTTCTGTTACTGCTATTTTATTAGCCAGTGTGCAGCTTTCATTACCTAATTAAATTAAGTCAAGCAACCCAAAAGCGTTGCCTTGACCAACAGTTTGGACCGCAGCACAGCACTGGCACTGGGGGTTATTTGCCAGGTGAAAGTGGCATCCCATGTGACCACCCAGGCCTTTCACAATCGTCTCAGATTGGTTATCCGAGTTGAGGCTTAAGTACTGCATACATCTCTCTGCAGCAGCATGAGACCATAAAAAGTTAAGAGGTTTCTTTCAGTTTTGCGGCTATAAAAATAAAATATAATACTAATCTCATGCCCAGCTTATGGGAACATTGCAATTAAGATATCTTTTATATACATTTTTTTATAGTTTACAGAAATGTTATAATTAAAATATATACATGAGCATTTATTGTATCTATAGGTAATCTATTCAACTCGTATATAACTGTTACTCTTCAAATAATAGATCAAATTTAGACATATATCAATACAAATGTGCCTCGCCATAATATATTGGATTCTACTGGCATCTTTATGTAATCTTGTCACACTTCAAATTCAATTTTTCAGATCCATTTATATTCCAAATGCTTAACATTTTTGATAAAGACTCTCAGTGCCAAAAACTGCATTGCAAATGCAAAGGTATTAATAAAAACAAAAATTAAAAATTGTGTTTTCATTATGATTATTTATTTTTTTTTTTTGTGTGTCGTTTTACATTTTGCGAAAATTGTTTTCGTTTATGTTTGAGTTTTTCTTTGCTGCTGTTGTAAATTGTAATTTGAAAAACATCACCGCAAACTGTCAAAATGCACTGACATTTACAAATTATTTTGCTGGCAGCAGCCGTGGGGTGCCTGGTGGTGCTAGTGGTACAGTCAGTCCACTCTCTCCGCTCTCCGCACTCCGCATACCCAACGATCGTATCCAAGCAGCAAGCCACCATTGGCACCAGTTGGGGCCGTTTGACGCTTTGAAATGCGAAATGGAAGCGGTCACCGTTAATTTGCGTCAACGGGCTAATAAAGTTTCGTGTCGCCTTTTTGCTTTTGATTTTGCTTTTTGGCATTTGCTATTTGGCTATTTGCTATACGCTATTTGGCATTTGGGAAGTCGAATCGCAAGACGGCAACAAAGTTGCCTAATGCACTAGTTGCTGTATCTGTGGCCGCATCTGGCAGGCGCTGGTTTTGCAAATGTATCTGTATCTGCAAATTGCATGCCGGCCGAATAGCAAATTAGCCAAGGCAATCACACACATATGAAAAGCTGACATTTCAATAGTAAAAAACCTGAGCGCAAAAAAAAAAAAAAACTGTTTACAAAAAATAGCAACAGAGGGGACATATCCGCTGCATGCAGCTAACTGGACGCTTGGGGCCCGCATCTGCATCCTCAACTTTGTATCTCCCTTTGGCTCTTTATGAAATTCCGATAGCCCATTAATTGCCTTTGATTGAGCACCTGAGTTGGTGCTGGTGCTGCTGCTGCTGCTGTTGCTGTTGCTGTTGCTATTGCCACAGAGTATCAATGAACCTGCCTTGCGCCGCGGGCGATGCAACCGAATAAGTGAGCATCGTTTATCGCTGCTGCTTTCGTTAGGGTTTCGTCTTCTTCTTCTTGTTCTTGTTCTTCTTCTTCTTCTTCGTTTTCTTCATTTCTTATTTTATATTCATAGTAGTTGTGCAAGGTGCAAACTGGCTGCATAGATTGGCCGGCCCTACCTGTGCCCACAGCTGCCTGCCTGGTTTATGGGTCTGCGTGCCTAGGAGTGGCCGTGCCTAATAGCTAAAGAATACACAGTATAAAAGCAGAGGGCAGAGTCGAAGTAGAAGTAGAAGTTGAAGCTGAAGCTGATGAAGAGGAAGTGGAAGAGGGAAAAAAATGAATTATGATTTGGCGGTAGGCATTTAATGGATGGCCATGGATCTTTGACTCGAACAAAAATACTCGTTTGGCGCCAACATATTGACAGCTGTACATGTGTGAGTGAACGTGTGTCTGTCTGCTGTGGCTGTGTGTGTGTGTGTGTGTGTGAAGTTATTTTGCTGGACAGGTGAATGCTATTTAGTTAGAATGCCTTTTTGTCTGTCCGTGAGAGTCCGTCCATCAGTTCATGTCTTTTTATATATATTTTTTTTTTTGGTTTCTTTTGTATTTTCTAATTGAATTTAGTTGGCGCAACAGCGTCGCATTGTCTTCTGACGTGCTGTGAAAGGCCACGCGGCCACGCGGCAACTCTGCAACGATATCGATAAGGAAATGCACCACACTCTAAACAGGCACTGAAAAGCATTCAAAATTGGAGCATGACAGCTCCGCTCAAGTGGAGTTTCGAGTTGTAGTTTTTCGGCTCGTGATGGATAGGTGTTGCATTGTGGTTGACTTTGATGCTTGCTGATGCATGATGGCTGTTGATGGCAGCGATATGCGGGCCGTGTTGTTGTCTCTGGTGTTGTTGTTGTTGTTGTTGTTCCAAGTGAAAAGTGAAAGATACTTTGTTACAAATGGCATGAGTGCCTGGCAATTAGTTGGTCCACAAAGCGATTTGGCTAAGCAGCTGCATGTGTTAGATCTTAAGTACTCTCAACTAGAGTGTCCATAAACTTTGAGTAAAACTGCACTTAGCTCTGTCATTAAGCCTTTGCAAGATGATGACTCTGTCTTTACTGTTAAATGGCCAACTCGTTGCCGAGATCCTTTCGCGCTCGACGGCAACTTGAGCCACTTGCCAACGCCTACACAAAAGCCAGGCAACGACTCTCAGAGCAACCGCATGGGCGTTGCAACCAACCAGCGACAACAATAACAGCAATAACAATAACAATAACATCATTTTGCGGCATTGCTATAAAAAATGCTCAAACCCTAAGCAGTTCAAAACACATCTAGTAATTTAATAGCTTCAAAATACAACCAGCTAACTGGCAACTGGCAACTGGCAACTGGCAACTGGCAAAAGAAAAACAACCGCCCACCCGTAAGGCCTTATAAACAATGCAATGCATAAATTTCGAGCCACAAAGAGCGCTGAAGGAGACGAAACTGAAAACTCATTAGGCGCATCGCCTACGATACATAAATGCAATAATATTGTTGAAAATTACGAGCCTAATAACATAAATTTCACAGAAGACAAGTCAAAACCGGAGTTGGGAACGCGAAGAGAAACGGTGATGGTCATAACCTTTTGCATAGATTAACTATACTCGTACACATAATCGTAGCTCGTCTTTGTATGCCGTTTTCTATCCGTGAGATACACGCATTGCGTAAAAGTTCATTATGTAAAAGGAGTTGCCGTTCTTATCGAAACTTATGGCCCAGAAATATGCGTCGAGCAGCGACATAAACATAAAATAGGCGAATTAACTGAGATGGCCAAGAGGGTAGATGATGCACATGAGACCAGCAATACCCAGCAAACCCAGCAAACCCAGCGAACTCAGCGATCCCTTTGCGTACGGCTCATAAAGTCAACAAATTATGCATTTTCAAGTTGAATGTTGCACCTGCAACATAGTCGCTGCAGCCGCAGTCGCAGTCACAGTCGCAGTCGCTGCCAGTGTCGCATTAGAGCCGCATTTGGCCAAAAGCGGCAATTCGTACCAATCGCCATCGTTGGCCATTCAGCTTTGGCTCAGCTACCTGCTACCTGCTCGGCCGGGTCTAATTGAGTTTTGAGAGTCGTTACACTTCATCGCAATGGGAGTAAATTAAACTGTCATTAGTTTACCCTTTGGCACCTTTGTCGCCCGTCGCCCCCTACGCTCTTTGAGTTGCGAACCCGATCCAAACGATCTCAACATGTGAAGTGGCGCGTTATTTTCTGTGTGTGTTTTTTTTTTCTTTGCAGCCGTAATAATTTTGTAGGTTTTACGAGTGCCGCCAAGACAATTAGGCATTTGTTGTATTGTTGTTACACACACACACACACACACTCGATATACACTGCCAAGTGTGGGCATTTTGCTTAGCGGCTTTTAACGCTTTGATGTGCGCAACTGAAAAACGCGCGCGAGACGCGCGACGCGCGATCCCGCAACGAATCTAACGCCTTTTCAAAACTTTGTTAGCTACATGGCTTTTAACTTTTTTTGGTGGTGGTGGTGTTGTTGTTGCTGTTGCTTTTGCTGTTTTTACCATGCTGAAGATTTATTTTTCCATTATAGTGTGCCGACATCGACATCATTGTGGGTGTCTGCGCCTTGACACAAGCCATTGGGCCATGACGTGCACAAAAAAATAAATAAAAATGAAACAAACCAATAACAAAGTTTCGCTCTTTTCAGAAACGATGATTTTCAATTTCGGTTTGCATTAGTATCAAACCTTAGCATATAATTCTTAACATCATTTCATTTTGTCGTTGTTGCTATCAAATTCAAATTTAAATTCTTAATCGCTTATACATTGAAAAGCGTTTTCAAAGTCTTAATATTTAAATTGCCAAACAATCGATTCGTTGTGTTTTCACACACGTTTTATTTTTTATGGGCTGTCAACTTTTAACTGTGATTTTTATGGCTTAAATATACGAGACGTTCGCATGCAAAAATGCGTCATTTTTAATCGGTTTTCATTTTACTTCAAGTATTTACATCGCGTTTCAATTAGTTGGGTCTGTTAAGTGCCGTAGTCTTAAACAGTCTTGCTGATTGGGAGCGTTTCAAACGCGTTTTAAGGCCGCTGCGAATGCTGTTAGTTTTCACATCAATAAAATTTCAGTTTTTAGTATCAAAATCAGCTGCTAACCCAACGTGTTTTGTTTCGGCCGGTATCCAATGCATAAAATTGATTAACACCAACTGACGGAATAGGAGAGAAAAAAAAAGCTGCCAAACTGAGAAATTGAGTAGCACACATCACACAAATCCGCAACAATTTATTGCACCTGTCATTAAAAAACAAGAGCCACTCAAAGGCGCGCACAAACTAAGCCACATTGTTTGTATGTTTGTCTATTTTTTACGACTAGCTCAAAGATATAAAAACCACTTTTTAATTCAAAGCCGCAACAAATGTTATTGACCATAAAATAATTTGCATCAGCCGCCTGGGCACGTGTCACAAATTGTACAACAAATTTGCCAAATACAAATCACAGCAATCGAGAAATCTAAATCAAATTTTATATTTTATAAAATCTCTTCTCTTTTTTTTTTTTGCTCTAAAATAAAAAACATAAGCTGACAACGTATGTGCATCCCATTAAAAAAAAAAAAGAAAAGAAAACCACATGAAAAGCTTTTGAAGATTCAATGCAGCTAAAAACCTGTCATAAACAAATTCAGATGTTTAGATATTACGAAAATATAACTATTTATGTGTGCGACGGCAGATAAAACAGAAAACACTCTTTCGCTTTATGCCTGCCTTTGTTGTTAATGATTCACTTGCCACACTATTGTTGCTATTGTTGCCGTTGTTCCTATTATTGTGGTTGTTGCTGTTAATGACTTGACAGTAAAGTAGCCTACACAATTTATGGCAAACTTGTCCGCCTACAATCAGTTTTCATTCAGTTCTCCCCGTGTGTGTACTTGTGTGTGTGTGTGTGTGTGTTTGTGTGTGTGTGTGAGTTTATGTTTTTAGTGCCTTCGTCTAGTTTCGTTTTTTAATTGAAACATTTTTGACCATATTTTCTTAATAATCTGACATGACATTGTTTGTGTGTGTGTGTGTGTGTGCTTCTGACATGACTTTATAAATTTAATATAATTTTAACTAATTTAATACAGAAAACTAAAATTCAAACATGCGGCACCCCAACCATATACATATATTACTACTTATATAGCTTAAATATAAGCGAATACATATCATTATTATAATTTGTACATTGTGCTCTCCACTCTGTTTATTGCAGTCGCCATCGCAGAAGCAACGCCAACGCCTTTGGGCCACAAGCTGCAAATGCCTGGTAAGTTTTCATTATTGTTGTCTTCACGTTGCTTTAATGTGTTGTTGTTGCTGCTGCTGCTGCTGTTGCTGTTGCTGTTGCTGTTGCCAAGCACTTTTATAGTGACTTGTCGTTAAAAAAAAATATGTGTTGAATATGTTTTTTTATGACACGAAATGAGCAGGGCCATAAAATTGAGCCAACTGGCGATGTGCCTTGCGGCCAGTTGAATTCTGTAAATGGCATTTGCATTGTCGGGCACTGAACTGCAATAACAGTTGACATCTCCCATAAAAATGAAAAGGAGCAGCATATTTACTGACTTCAGGGCAATTTTGGATCAACAATTGAACGCCTCAATATACATATGTATCGTCCAAAACATTCTTTCATATTAATACGACTCAGTTGAAAGCTGGAAGCAGCCATCATGCGATTATTGACCCTATCGCAGTAACCTTTTAACCATAATACTTGACACTTCCTGGTATAACTAGTGAGCCGGCATTCAAAAACCTTGCCAAATTGATCTTCCATCTATTCAACTAACATCTATGGGCAAGGAGGAAAGAAAGGTGGAAGATAAAGATATAGACTAGTATAATGCCAACTAATTGAATTGATTTATGCATGTCGCGCATTTTAATGAAGTATTTTCTCTGATTTGGTTGCTGAGCAGCGATTCCATTTGATTAATTTGAATTTATTTAGATTCGATATTGGTTGCCATAGCATAATTTTCGTTTTTTGCTCTATCAATTTCAATGATGGCACATTATAAGTTTCGGCGGCGTTGTCTGATTTGTGTCCACACTTGCTATTATTTATTTATTTATGCATGAGCAAAGAGCAGCGGCCTTTTTAACTGTTGGCTGGTTAAACTGCCAGCTGAGGTCGAAGTGAGGGGCCGGGGGGAACAGACCTGGGGGGGCCAAGGAGCGTTCGTTGCCCACGCGGCAGAGGAGGCGTCATTGATTTATGCCTGGCACTTTTTATGGCCATTTTGTTTGTAATTTATTAACAAGCTTGTTAACAAGCCATCGTCTGGCCAATATGCAGATGCAGATACCAAAACTTACGAACTCACTGTGCACTTCAAGCCTGCGCCTGACCAGTCCAAAGAGGTTAAAGGCCATTACGGCAGCCAGACAGCCGGGCAGCTTGGAATGGCAACAGCAGGTGGCTTTCAGGTTCCTATCCATATTTATAGAAAGTTTTTTTTTTCATGTATTTTATTTTGTAGTTTTTGTTTTTGGCCAAGACGCGTGCATTATGCACAACCACACACACAAACACACACAGATACATAGACGCACAAACTAAACAAAAGCTCGCGCTCTTAAATATTTAAACAAGAAATAAAACAAAAAGTGAGAAAAACTTTGACGTGTAGTTTGCCAGTTCGATCCCCACCTCCTCAAATGCCCACGATTTGTTTGCTTAAGCGCGAGCGGTAGCCAAGTGGGCAAGTGTCGGAGCCGTTGGAGCTGTTGATCAAATATTCTAAATATTTGCTAAATAATAGAGAAGACAGCAGCAGCAAACGGAGGCGAACCGGTGGCAAAAGGCTTGGCCCAGGCCCAAACCTCGAACGCAGTCAAGCGAAGACAAACATTGGCCCAGGCCCAGGCCCAGACACAGACACAGGCACAGACACTGGCCAAGACTCTATGCCCCTGGCTCATAGCTAATGGCAGTTGCTTTTGCCGTTTAAATAGCGGCTACTATTTGCGTAGCAAAGTGTACCCAACTGACGAAATGACGCCTGTCAAATACACACACACACTCGCACACACATACTGTCAAGCACTTGATGCGAGTTGGCAACGTCAATTGAAGTCTTCGTCATCATCGTGATCGTCGCCGTCATCATCATCATCATCATCATCATCGCTGTACATTTTACACCGGTCAGCTGAAAGCGACAGATACAAGAGTTTTGTTATTCGTGCCCAGTCAATAGACACTTTAATGTTTTATGAGCTTTTCATTTTGTTGGAGCCATTGATATGAGCCCTTTGCCAGGCTTCAACAACGGCTACAACTTGGTTGGTTCAGCAATGTACATTGTACAATGTACATGCATGTAAATAAAATCATAATTGAGGCTTACAAGAGAGCAGCATATAACACTAGCGTGGAACTAACTGATTTATCTGTGCAACAATCTAATTTCAATTGTGCGCCTGAACGACTTGAAGCCAAACAACTTGAAACAAGACTTGGACGTCCAACGGCTTTGGGGCCATGCTGAGCAGTTCGCCAGTTGATCAGTTTTGAGCAGCTTGAAAGCTGTGTCAGCGGCAGCGCCAAGTTGTCAACTTAATTTACAGCTAACATGTGAGTTACAAGTTCGCGGCGATTGAGCAAGCGATAAAAAGTATTAATTTCATAGCTCCATGCAATTAACATAAAATTGGACCAACGGACAGACGGACGGAGTGGAGTGGATAAACGTACTGACGTATCTACCATGCTGCAACACACAAGAGCAAATACTTATAAATATGCAAATAGTTCAGATTACAAACGGGCGAGTGTTCAATGCAATGCAATACCTCGATCAGAGCAGATATCGCCGATTTTATAACACTCGCCTATCTATTGGCAATTTTTGTTATTGATATACAGTTTTGTGGAGCCGGCACGAGCGTCGACATTTAGCTGACAACTATGCTGACGTGTTTAGCTAAATGGCAGACCAGACACTTGCCAGAGGGCGCCACAGTGTGTGTGTGTGTGTGTGTGTGTGTGTGTGCACATCCATATGTGGCTTATATGATTCCCAAATAATGAGTTGGCAGGCTACTTAATTGTATGATTTGCATAATTGGAAATCATTTTCAAATGCCACGAAAGCCATAAAAACTAAAGGTTAGCGTATATTGGCTCTAATAAAATATATTATCATGCAATACCGTCTGTGTCAACTAAAAAATTATAATATAGAACATGATTTGATCCTAACAGCCGGTTCTGCAATCAGGTTAACAAATCAGACCAAAAATAAAGAGAACAAAAAATAAATAAAAAGAAATCGATATTATCATAAATATCATATTCACTAAGCATTTATTCTAACGGCAATTCAGATCATAAACATGTCAATAAACTTCTATACAATACGATCATAAATAAGTATTATTATGTATTCGAATTTCGCTGTCGAATGCCAAATCATTAACTAAACAAAGTGTCCATTAAAGTCAAAACAGTTTTTAATCTAAGGCCTTACCACAAGTCTAAGTCATTTCGATGCATTAAGCTGAAAAGATCACCCGGCAGAAGTACTCGACTTTCAAATACCCTATACTATATTCAATGCTAAAATTCGTTAAGATAAATGACATAGTGCTTAATATATGCAAAGGAGTCTAAATGGTGATCAAGAATACCAATTCAATGAGTCGAAAGTAAGACTTTCTCTTTTCGTAGCATTTATGCACCAATAAAGAGTATTCAGTTCAGTTTATGACTCGCAGGTCGCACAGCAACAACAATCGATAAGCAATTTCAATAAATCGTGCAAGTACAATAAAAGTAAATTAAACGGTTTGGTTGCCTCGGCTGCCGCTTCTGTCGAGTTGTGTCTCAATTTGCCGGACCGGTCAGAGTGCCCAAATGCCAGTGGCCAGATCTGATGAGGTGCCGCAATATGCGTAAGTTAAGTGCGCGAACGTGGCCCAAGGAGGAACAAGCAGCCGAACAACAACTTGAGCTCTTCACGCAATTACGTGGAAGCTGCTCTGGTGAACCAAAAAAAAAAAAAATTAAGAAAAAAATACCGAAAAACGAAAAGCCAACTTTCTACTCTTTGTTGGTTTGGCGGCCTCAAGGGCTAAAAAAAACAAAAAAATAAATAAAAACACAAAAACACAGACCCTTTCTTGGGCGTCAATGCAATGCAAATGCTTGTTGTTACTTGGCGGCTTATCAGCAATCTATTGTCCGAAAATGTTGAACAGATAACAAGCAGCGGCTACTATCTGTCTTTCTCTTGTTGGCTTTTGGTCCTTGCACCTATTAAGCCATAAAACGCATGCAAATGAAGGCGTTGAAATGCACAACAACATCAAAAGCCTCGACCATACATACTAAAAAAGGGACTGACACGAAAGTTGAGGCGTTTTGTGCCAGCTTAAAGGGCGCAAGAACTAACGCGCTTGAGGTGCAGATGAGCGAGTGTGAAGGGGCAGCTGGCCACTGTGTGGCAGAGTCAGCTTTGCTGGGGGTAAGTTCCAGCTAATACGAGCACCGGCTGACTGGCAATTAATTATGGCTCAGTGTTGGGCCAGTGGCTGGCATATGTTTATTTACTTAATTTACTTAATGACACACAAACAGAGCAGAGAGCGAGCCAGCGAAATGTATCTCAAAGATGGGCACGAGTCGGCGCACATTTGGGTGAGGTCATCGTCGCTCTATAAAAGCGTTTGTCTATCTTTCCGTGTCTGTGTGCGTTTGTATTTGTGTTTGTGTGTGTATGTCTAATAAATAACATTATTAATTACCAGTGCAATTAACTATAAGTACACCAGCACCAGCACACAAACACACACACACGCACAGCAGATGAACCGGGGCGCCCACAAGGCGACAACTACGAAGACGACGCCTCGTTTTCGATTTTGGTTAAATGAAGCTACAGCTACATACATACATATGTATGTATGTATGTACACACATCTCATAGATACAAAGGCGAAGTGCACTTTGTGACCCAATTTGAATTTTTCATAAGTTTCTTTCAGTTATTAAAGCGAATTTTGTTTGTAAGTCACTCGTTAAGAACTCGACGTTTTTTTTCTTTCGCTTTTAATGGTTCATTTAGTCTTATATTGAGTGATATATGAATGCATTAATCTTAGTTTATGTTTATTACCCACATGTTATGGCCGTGTGGATATCTAGTTTTATACAAAATGTGCAACACGATAGCAACACGATGACTTACAACGAAAAAAAATTAGTTATAGAGATTAATGTTGACTATATACGATTTTATGTCATTTTTATGATAT